GTGTTAGCATGAGTCTCGAAATCACCATGAGAGAAGTTGAACCTGGCGATGTTCAAGCCCTGATCGATCATCTTCACCAGAGTATCAACATCCCAACACGATGGGCCCATAGTGCATATAAGCTTGGTCTTTCTGTAGAGGGAGTCTGCATCGCTGCTTTCCCACGAGGAGATCTTGGACATATCATCGGATATAGCGATAGCTGCCTGACCCAGAACGGCATATCCCTCCACCTTGCGGCCACTGAAGGCTTGATACGAATGAGACATTACGTTATATGGCAACGATTAGACTGTACGGGACGCGCTGGACTAGTCGATGCTCGCTAATCGTTGAGATCGACGACAGCGCAGATCGGCCCTAGCACGCCTGCACATAATCGAATCGTAGTGGGGCTTGCGCCATCACCTCAAGGGCCACTTTCACTCAGACGACCTGCGATCACTAATGGTCATTTCTTGACTCCAGTGGGCATGCTCCTACTCCGACCCAACTTGACCTGTCATTAGAGGCACGCCGAAAGAAATCGGTGGGTTCGGCCGTCATAGAGAGACCAGAATTTGCACGCATGCCGAGCGCGCGGGGCAGCTTTGCGGGCACGCGTCAGGTGCTCGCGAGTATGTATATGCCCTCCTCCTCGGGCAACTATCGATATTAACTACAGGGCAGCTACTGCTATTAGAACTGCTGATTTGACAATCCCACCAAAACTGACGGACTCACTGCTTTAGTGATGCGAATGAACTTCTCTAAATCCCGGGCCAGAATAGATGTTCCGGCTTAGCTTAAATGGGGCACTGCCCGATGTTCGGATTTCACTTCCATGGAATTGACTATAGAGAAACATCACTACTGCATCTCGGACTATACCTCAGGAACCACTCCAAAGAGGCGAGAACAACACAACAACAGAAGATCGTTGAACAACAACACAGCGGACTAACCGACTTGAATGAATTGGATGGCTCTTACGCCAGATACACCACGTTCAGTGATTATGACAGAGAATTAGTACAGAAAGAAAACTCGTACGATGAACAGGAACGTTCAGTATTTACTCAACATAAACAACTTCCATCATGTTGGTGGCACCAGCAGTGTTCTCCTTGATACCGTGAACGGCAACAACCTTATCACCAACCTTCACGAGGCCAACAGACTTGGCGTACTCGAGGGCCTTGGCAATGACAGTCTCGGT